TCGGCCTACATTTTTGGGTCAGAACGACCTGGTCGGTCCGCGGTCAAAGCGATAGTCCACGGGTGATCGTTCCTTTTCAGTTCTGGTTCCTCGGCTTTGGAACCAAATGCCACTAGAAAGAAAACAGTCCACATTGCTGCCCATTTTCAAAGCTAGGCTGAAGGTTCGTCTTTGGTCTAGTTCTTAGCTTTTGTACTCATGTTTTTAATGTTCTGATCATTTAGTTTAATGGCTTTTTTCATCTTTTACTGCATTTTAAATGTTGGCTTTCTGCGTTTTACAATATAGCTGTTTTATTGTGTTTTACTTGTTCACTTTGTTCAGCACCTTGGGTCCCCTTGATTGGGGTAGGAAGGGGCTTTATAAATAAAGTTGAATTGAAAAGTTATTTTTATTTTCACATCGATGCATCCATGGTCAAATCCTTGCTTGGCAGGAGATACTGCTTTCATTCAAGTGAAAGACATCTGAACAGAGATTTTAGTAAAAGAGGGAGGTACGTTTGTTGCAAAGCATCCCTGACCTGACAGTTTTGGTTGTTTCTGAGGTCTTAAAACTGACCAGGAAAGCTTATGGCTACTTAGATGTAATGAATAGCTGGATCTTTAAAATATAAAACATTTAGGGAATCTTGCAAAAATTACATCCTGTTTTTCATTCCATCTCTCAGCCGTGTTGGGCTCAGTGGAGCTCAGAATTAAATGAGCTGACCTGATAGTTCAGGCCATGCTTGTGGTCACTTTTATATACTGCAACATTGGAATCAATTAGTGGCTGTACCATGAGAAAAGCAATAAATGAAAACTGCCTTTTATAAATAAAATGAGTATGAAGTTTTTAATGTGATATTTTACATGATATTCTTTTAATTAGGTCTCCAATATATTGGTTGGTTAATGAAGATGTTTTTTTTATTAGCCAGGGGCTACTGGAGTCAGCACCTGCAGTAAAAGTTACTCTTAAATGTAAAACCGGGTTCAAAGGCGGAACTAGGATTTATCCGACAAAAAGGCTATGAAGTGGCCGCAATATTTATAGAGAGATCAAGAAATAATCCAACATCTTTTCACAGAATCCACAATTTTAGTGAGGTAGAGAAATTTCAACACCCACACTATGTTGAAACAATTTAAGATAATTTTATGTGCGTTTTCACTGGCAAAATCAAAGCATTTGAGAAGTTTCAGTACTGTGGTGATTTTTTTACAGCCACAAATGGGATCAGTTTAAAATATGTTTGTGGGTGAAAAAAAGTCCCTATTTGGCTTTTTAGCATCTACCTATAATCTGATCATCATGCTAAGTAAGGACAGATGAGTGACAGGGCAGGGACACTTCAGTCAGATTTCATCAGGGGCCAACGCCCCTGTGGCCCTGCCCTTTAGAGCTGCCTTAGAACTGCCAGTTTTATTTCACAATATAGCTCAAGTGAATCCAGTTTTTCATTAGGCAGCTAAATCATGACTATAAACAGCAGTCTGAAGAAAGCAGATCCTGATGTTTGTGTACTTCTGCAAAGTGGTCCTTTTTACTTTTGATACGGATACTTTTGTGGTAATATACAGATTTCTGAATTGTTACTTTCTTAGCAATTTTAAGCAAAGTGTTTTTAACCTTGATTTTTTATCTTCATATAAAACCATATGAATAAAAAAATAATTATTACAGTGAATGAAATCATTATATCATGGGTCATTTAAACAGTTGGGACTTGTGTCACTTAAGGTACAAATGTGAACTTTTATTTTGAAAGAAATCTTATTGGTGTGTGCTTCAAAAAGCAGCCACGACAGCTCATAGTGTGTTTTATGGCCAGAACATGAGACTGAAAAACAGCGATAAAAACAAAAATACACAAAAAACAGTAATTCTAGATTTTTTTTCTCTTTTATTGATTATTACCGTTGCCCCAATATAAACTGTATTATTGGATTTAACGTATATATGTCGATGGTTTAAACGCAAAGAGCAGGAGTGATTTTTTTTCGCACGACACCGGCTGCACAAACCGGAAATGATCACAACTTTGTCATGCTAGCTTCACGCGACACAATGTTTGGTAGGCAAATCATCTCGAAGTGTTATTTAAAGCACGTCTCATAGTGTTTCGTTGAACCAGATTTATTTAACGTATGTATTTTCGTTTACTATGAGAAAAAGAAAACGACATATGTTGTTTTTCGTTTTGCTAGTAGCTGCTAGCCAGTAGACGTGATTAGCTGGACGTTAAGGGGAGCTAACGCCACCGTTAGACAATATAAGAAGATCGTAGATCGTTATTTTGATGACTCAAAGGAAATCCAAACGCCTGTGCGTACGGTCTTAAACCGGGAAATGATGAAGGCGGTACTAGCAGTGTCGTGGCGCCCCGTTGCTGTCCACGTCTAGTCTTATCTGTGTTTAACGTTGCCATATGAGCCAGGCCACGTCCCCGCGGGCGTACTTCTACGACTACTGGACGAATTGCTGAGAAGATGCCGAGTGTGCGGAAGGGGAAGCAGAGTAAATACGCGTAGAAATGTGAAAAACCCTCGAACCTTTATGACTGTGTGTGTACTTTTTGCGTTTCCGTGCAGTCGCCGCATATTGTCCACGGTATGTCAGGTACACGAATGCGTTGCTTTGCATCGGGGGAATCCTCACATTGATCTCGGCTGGCTGCGGTAAATAAATCTGTGGTAACGTTGGACTTTTTGTGCTTTGACATGATTGGGTTTGGTGCAAACCGACGGGGAGGCCGCCTCCCGTCATTTATCCTCATATTTTTGATGCTTATTATCGCCATACTCTCTTTCAACTACTGGACGGTGTCCAACAAGCACGGCCGCTTGCTGGACGAGCTGGCCGAGATTCAAACGCAGATGCAGCGCTCGGACGCGGCGCGGAGCCGCTTAGAGAAGCGGAACACGGAGCTGATGGTGCAGGTGGACACACACAGGAAGCAGATCGACCAGAAGGATACAGACTACAGCGTCATGGAGGACAAGCTGCAGGCCCGAGAGGTGCTCGTGAAAAAGTGCTCTGATGAAAAGGTAAATTTGGTTTTCCCCCATCTGGTTCCAACCTCACCCAAAGACTTTTTTTAGTTCGGGTTTAACACATAGTAGGGTTGATCATACTAGAAGCAGCTAATCAAACGTTACACCCAAAAAATAAACACTCAAGTTCTCAGGAGCTAAGCAGGACAACAGAATAGATTTTAATGCACGTGTTAGGTATCATTACCTCTAATAAAATATGTGAGTAAAAAGTAAATAAAGTTAGATAGTTTTAAAGAAATCGTGCCATTTTATTAAATCTGGATGCAAATTTCTAAAACAGAGTACAGTCAAATGTTTATCTATTAGGGAAACAACACTATCAACACCAACTTGACCCAATGTGGAAAAGCAATTGTCCTCCATGTTAAATCATGATTCCCCTGTGATTAGCAGCACTTTTTGGAAAGCCATGTTCAGTTTCACATGCCACACCTGTGCTTGATTAATGCCAGACCTGTAGAATATATAAATCATTTAAACAACACCTAAAAAAGTGCAGGCATTACTTGGTTTTGGTTAAGGTCAGAGGTCATGATTTCTGCAATGAGAGCAATAAAATGGCATTTTGGGGGGGGGGGGGGGGGTCTTCTGACGAAAAACACACAAAAACCTGTCTCGTATTTGCCAACAAACATCTTGATGATTCCTGAGACTTCAGGGGATATCTTCTGTGGACACAAGGTGAACATTTTGGAAGGCGTGCGTAAGGTCACACCTGGAGCATTTCAGAAAAAGGAACATCAGTCAAACGTGGTGGCAGTGTGATGTCTGGGACTGCTTTGTTTCAGGAAATGCCTGTTTCAAGACCTGAAACATTTATGTATGACCAAATAAGATAAATGTTTAAGGAATAAATGCTGCAGCTGATTTGAATAAAGGCTACAGGTAGTTAAAGCTCTGACTTGGATCTGATCTGTGTGAATCTGAACTAAACAGCAGATTATTTTCTCCTTAAAGTCGACCACGAAGTTGACAGTAGGTGTATTTTACCCCTTGACCTGAAACGTAACCTGCTTCACAGTTTCATCCCCCTCGGCTCAACCGCTTCCTCCTGAGGTCTGCTACACCCAGTTTTTTTAAAGATAAGCACCACTTATAGCAAACTCAGAAGTTGGTCTCCCCCTGAAAGCAAAAGTGTTTACGTAGAACCTATAGAGAGCCCTTTTTTTCATCAACTATTAGTTATTAAATTTACAGGAACTTGTAAAGTAGTCCTGATTCATCCACATTAAACAATTAGTTTTCTATCATTCCTTTAGTTTGCTTCATTAGTCTCTCCAACAAATTTCATTGTATCTTTTTTTTTCTAAATTTTTTTGGATGGCTTTTCTCATGTTTGTCCATCAGTTTCATTTGTGACTCTTCACACGTTTGTTGGGATGACCACTTTGATGTGCAGCAGCTCCTGTGCACTGCAGCTGATTTATGTAACAGCGCCCAACTAATTTTGACTTTGCCTACTAGTTGAGCATTTTCACTCGTATTTGTCCCAAAGTCAAACCACTGGTCAGGTGTTGACCCAGACGAGTGAAATTTCAATCACACGAGCCACGAGGCGCCGTCTGTTTTGTCCTTTAATTCCAGCCTTGTGCTTATCACGATTTATGAAATTTTGTAAGCTTAAATGAGCTTGGCTTGAAGTCAGCGAAGAGATAACAGCAGCACGTAGAGCAGGGGCGTTCAATTCTGGACCTGGAGGGCCAGTATCCAGCACGTTTTGTTTCAGCACACCTGATTTCAATCAGCAGGTGATTAACAGGCTTCTGCAGAGCCTGATGAGCTGCTGAACAGGTGATTCAATCACTGAGTCAAGTGTGTTGGAGCAGGGAAACCACTAAAACGTGCTGGATACCGGCCCTCAAGGCCTGGGATTGAATACCCTGGACATAGAGCATCCTCTGTAAGCCTTCTAAGTCAGAAAACACAGACAGATGGGAAGACTATTCTGTTTCAGCCAAATTTTCCTCAATTCTAAGATTTGTGAATTTTGTTCTGTGGCCAAATAGTGATGAAATAATTAAATTCAGCTCCTTGTTCAACATGTGCAGTTTAATCTTCCACAAACAAAACAGAAATCGTTTCCAACAATCATTACAGTAAAACTCGTCTTAAATCAAGTTTAAACGGTAACCAAATATGACTGTCTGGTTTTATGGAGATGATGGTGTAAAACGCTCGAGGACAGAAGGGGCTAAAGTTTTTCTACTTTTGTCAACAGTCTAACCTTGTTTCAACAGAGATGTGTGTTTGCCACAAACAGGGTTAATCCTGGAGTTAGGACTCAGAGCTAATGCTATTCAGTTAGAGCCAGGAACATTATCCTGTAAAGGACCCAGTCATGGCAGAAATGCCCATAGTAGCTAAAGATGGAGACTTGAGTTAATGTTTCAAAGTCAAAATCCCGTCGACAGCAACATGGTGTCCTGAAAGACACGCTCCAGGCCAAACGATCAAGTCAAACTTGTTTCCCTGGTTTTGATATGATGTGGTGTTCTTTTTTTTTTGGTCATTTTAATTAAGGGACCAGCTACATGCTTAAAGAGCAAGTCACCCCCAAATAAACTGTTTTTGCTGATAAACTATATAAATGAGTGTCTAATCGTGCTGTAGACATGTGTAGTCAATAATTTGGCACTTAGTGCATCTTAGTTAATATTTAAATATTTTGCCTAAAACTGACAGTGTTGCACCGTCTTCAAGTAAAAACTGCACTGCATTTGAGTTTAATTCTGCCACCACTATTGGTTAAGAGGCACTATGATGCTAGCTGGTACATTATGATGTCACAATGTCTTTGTGAGCCTCTGCATGTATTTGTTAGCGGCTCCGCCCTCTCAGTCTCCCAGGCAGCAGCATTTGTTGCATTTTTCAAACAGGAAGTGGGAGTGGATTAGGACTCTGGTAGGGGGAGACTTGCTCTTTAAAAAAACAACTTCGACTGAGCAGGTATACAAAAGTCAACGTTTATACAGCTCTTCCTTCTTTAAATGTGTTGTTTACTGAAAAAACATTTTAAATTAAAATTTCTGATTAAAATCAGCCACTCTGAGTTTTACATGCAGGCTGAACATGAAAATAGTCTCCTACATTAGCTTCTGTTAAATAGACGGTGAAACTGTAAGAGTAGAAAAGCCGGACAGACCTACGTCACACTGTCACTTAACATTCATGGACTCGCCCGTCTTGGCTCGTGACGGGGAAGGCTGTTGTCTGTTTGGCATCCAGGAAAGAGCTAGTAGAAGCTACCCATTAGCGTTAGCAACTCCACCACACAGCAGAACTCCTCCAGGCTTGTGTTATTTGTAGAGATAAAACTTCAGTGCTGCATAGATAATAGTGTCAGTGGTGGTCATTTTGCTGTTAGCCAATCAGAAGTGAGATGTCCAAATATCAGGAAGGAAGACTCTAAATCCTGTCAACTGAAGCTACTTTCCACTCCAGCTTTCTTGTACTTCTTGAAACAGGAGCGTCTGAGCATCCCTCCTCAGTACGACTTACAAGGCGCTCATTCCTTCTAAAGACAACTGCAAATGTAATAATTAAACAAGGGAATCAGACCTTTAATTAGATTTTCTTTTCTCTTATCACAGATGAAGCTACAGAGTGACGTCACAGCCCAAATGACAGAAATACAGAGACTGAAAGGTAGGACCAGCCAGCAGAGGGCGCTCTGATGACTTCTGTTTCAGAAAGCACTAAAGCTCATTTTAAGCAACAAAGACTTAAACTCCTCTGATGTTATGTGTTTGTGTGGTGGTGTTGCTCTGAACAGAGCAGCTGAAGGAGCTGAAGCAAGAGTTCATGAAGCAAGAAGAGCAGTTAAGAGATGTGAAGAGAAATAGCTCAACGCTGGAGAAGAGGTTGGAGTATGAGAGGTATTTAATCCTGTCAGTGTCAGTTTGGAACGTAGTTGCACATCATGTCCAATCACCACTAAACATATATTTTAGAGGTGTTTTTATTCATTGTTTTTTATTAAGTTGTTGATTGGCTACTAACTTTTTTATGTACGGGTCACACTCAGAAATAATTCACCCAGATTGTTTATACACTTGTTTATACACTGAGTGCACGCTGCCTGGTTTATCTGTTTGTATGTGGTTTGCATGAGTCAACTTCATTAGTGTGCAAATGATGTGCTCATAGTTTGGGTAGAACTTACACTGAGTGTGTGTCGACTAGTTTACAGTGTGGACGTCAGATCGCACAACTGAAACAAGAATACGAAGACGCTAAAAGAGCTCTAGAGGAGGAAGCTTCAAAGCAGAAACTGGTTAGTCGTTAAGGTTTTGTTTCATGTAGCTGCACCTGGTGTGTACACGTGTTGTCAGCAATGTCGTAATAATCAAATACTCTGGTTTTAACACAGATCCGCTCCAAGTTCCCTTTGAGATTTATAACAAATCCTTTCTCCTTGGTTAGGCTGGAATAAATGTCCAAAAGGGTGAACTGGCAGAAAGGCGTGCAGGTGCAGCACCTGGTGTGGATGCAGCGAGAGAGCGCCACACAGTGGCCACTCACCGACACGACAGACAGTCGGACCTGAAAGGTGGAGTCGGTGAGTCGATTCAGCTCAAATGCCTCTGGTCGAGTCGTTATTTACAGTGTTCAGAGGAAATCACTTTACACTGTGTTAAGTGTTTTCTGTCACGTTTCATTATTTACTGAACGTTTCTGTGGAGGTGTGGCAGGAACCTCTATAAACTTCCCCGTTTGTGTTCCGTTGCAGATGAAATGGGTAAACCTGGCAGTGATGCTGGCATGCCTGGGATTGAAGACAGCGAGGTTGGAAAAATGGATGAAGTTCAGTTTGGTAAGCATTTAAACACTACAGACTTTACTTTTGCCCGTGTTCAGGCTCTGACATTTGTTGTCACTGAACATGTGATGGGGATTACTCCTGGCTGCTACAGCAGGTTTTTGTTTTTACTGTGAAACTTATTTAATTTTTAATACTCACCAGATTTTTTATTTCTTCAATTCAATTCAAAATACTTTATTAATCCCAGAGGGAAACTGATTGCTGTAGTAGCTTAGAATAATAATAATAATAATCAAGTCATCAAAGAGTCGTTGTATATTACAATGGCTGTTGGCAGGAAGGATCTCCAGTAGCGGTCAGTGTTGCAGCGAAACTGAAGAAGCCTCTGACTGAAGACACTCTTCAGTTGTCGGACAGTCTTGTGAAGAGAATGCTCAGGGTTGTCCATCATTTTCTTGATTCTCTGGAGAATCCTTCTTTACAGTATCTCCTCCAGCGGTTCCGAAACTGCCGAAACTCTGGCTGAGTCCTTGAAAGGGCTTGGAGTTCCTCCATCTTGTTGGCCAGTGGTTTCACATTGACCATTATGATCGATGGAAGAGATGGTTTGAATTTCCTCTTTCTCTGTCTCCGTTTTGCTCCCGCTCTGCACCCACGCTTCTTGCGTTTTAGCTCATTTGGGATTTGTGGCTTCAGTTGAGGTATTATTTCAGCCTTTCCAATGTTAATCAGCTGCTTCCGATTGTAAACCAGCTTGTTGCCATGGTTACGCATCATAACAAATGCTCAAACATTGAAAAAAGCTTAAAAAATAGCAGTAAAATCCGCCAAGTTTCACAGCACCAGAAACAGAAAAGTAAAGTGTCCAAAAACTACAGTTTTTCTTGAGAAACTAGAAGAAAAAATGCCCAAGAAAAGGCAAAACTTACATATCGTCAGCAGAGCTACTCCAACATGCAGCCGCCCAGATCAGTGCAGTTCAGGAAAAAAATAAATAAAATACAGCAATCCTCATACTAAGCAAGCGTGTAGTGATAGTTGAGAGGAAAACTCCCTTTTAACAGGAAGAAACCTGCAGAGGATCCTGGCTCAGTAGAAGCAGCCATCCTCCATGACCAGTGCTGGAAGTGACAGAGCGAAAAAACAAAGTTTTGGCGTGAACTTTGGACTATATAGATTTGGACTTTGCTGTGACTTAAGAGCAAATAGCGGTACGGTACTTAAGTCTTTTATTTAGAAAAAGGGTGTATTTGTGTTTTTTTCAACAGTGCGTGGTGGACTGCCCTGTTAACTAACATTCATAATGGTGAGTATGTAATGTTGTTTACTGTCCAATAGCATGTGGAGACCATGTGGAGACAACCATCCCGACCCATGACTGAGCTCTGGGTCGTGGCCAGACTACATACCTAGACATACTAGCATGATAGTGCTGTCAGTTCAATTCAAAAATACTTTATTAATCCCAGAGGGAAATTGATTGCTGTAGTAGCTCAGAATAATAATAATAATCAAGTCATCAGAGTTGTTGTATATTACAATGGCTGTTGGCAGGAAGGATCTCCAGTAGCGGTCAGTGTTGCAGCGAAACTGAAGAAGCCTCTGACTGAAGACACTCTTCCGTTGTCGGACAGTCTTGTGAAGAGAATGCTCAGGGTTGTCCATCATGTTCTTGATTCTCTGGAGAATCCTTCTTTGCATTATTTCCTCCAGTGGTTCCGAAACTGCCGAAACTCTTGAGTCCTTGAAAGGGCTTGGAGTTCCTCCATCTTGTTGGCCAGTGATCTCACATTGCCCATTATGATCGATGGAAGAGATGGTTTGAATTTCCTCTTTCTCTGTCTCCGTTTTGCTCCCGCTCTGCATCCACGCTTCTTGCGTTTTAGCTCATTTGGGATTTCCGGCTACAGTTGAGGTATTATTTCAGCCTTTCCAATGTTAATCAGCTGCTCCCGATTGTAAACCAGCTTGTTGCCATGGTTACGCATCATAACAAATGCTCAAAAAGTGAGAAAAGCTAAAAAAAAATAGCAGTAAAAATCCTCCAAGCTTCACAGCACCAGAAACAGAAAAGTAAAGTGTCCAAAAACTACAGTTTTTCTTGAGAAACTAGAAGAAAAAATTCCCAAGAAAAGGCTAAACTTACATATCGTCAACAGAGCTACTCCAACATGCAGCCGCCCAGAGCAGCGCAGTTCCGGAAAAAACTGCTTGTCTGTCACTTTATGCTGCTTTGCCATGCGGGTTTTGGTGATTATTTTAACTTTATTTTGCAAAACCTTGTCATTTTTGTCCTAAAGCCTTGAAGAAACCCGCCATCACTCAGAAGCACGACGAGGGCCCTGATGCAGCTGGCGCTGAACCCGGACTCGGAGCAGCTGACGGTCCTGGAGGCCAAGGCTTGTCTCTTGACCAACCCAGGCTCCAGCAGGACAGACTGGAGGCCCAAGCAGTGGGGGTTGCCCCCCTCAGCCTCAACAAGCAGGCAGACAACCCAGTGGCGTTGGAAGAACACAACAAAGTCGCCATCAAGGCGGACGAGCTGGGAGAGCAGCAACGACAAATCCAAGGTGCGTCTTGTTCCCGTGTTTTAGAGCCGAGGCGTAGCTTTACTGATTCAATGCTCTTCAGTTAATTAATGTTCCTGCTGGAGAGCAAGCTCTTCAGGCTGCTTTGAAAAATGTTATACAGACCATATTGTTTACGTAGTGAGGTTGCATTTATATCTTTTTTTGTTTCACCAGTTCCTGATATTGTCATGGGTGACCGGGAACACCTGAAGAGGATCCCTCTGCCTCAGGATAACGCCCAGGTGCCCAAACCCCTCCAGCCGCAGCGGGCTAAAGACCAAGTTCCTGTAGAGCAACTGCGTCATCGCCAAAGTGAGTTCCGTTCATTCACTTTGAGGAGTGCTTGTCAAAGTAGACTTGGGAAGTGTGCTTGTTTTTTATTTGTTTATTTTTAAAGAGATAAAACAAAAATCCAATAATGAAGCAGTTTGTTTCATCTGTAGTGTCTTGTTTGGGTTTTATCACGTGCTCAACCGAGTTGACTTTAAATGATTAGTAACTATGAGTGGGATCTCGGCCAGGGAGGTGAGAGCGGCCTCGGTGGGAGAGGAAAGGAGAGGTGTGACACCAGGCTCCTGGAGTTTGGCTTCTGCTTTGCTTTGCTGCCCTTTTCTTCCTCCTCCATTTCAAATTGTCTGCTTCTTCATTCCCTTTCATCCCTACGAGACCTGCACACCCGTTGTCATGTCTGAACGAGCGTCTTGACACAGATTTCACCACGCTGGTTCTAAAACGAGGTGAAATCACTTCAAACATAGAGAGTTACTCATCAGTAACGGAGAGTGCTCCGTGAGGGGTCGGTTACACTTATCTACTCTACGGAGTGCAGCGCTAAATAAATAATAAAGCTGCTCAAAGTTTCCAACCTTCTGCTTTTCCTGTTGTCGTTAAGAGACAAAAGCAAAGAGGCAGCAGTGGAGATGGTCTAGAGTTAGCATACTCATTAAAAAATACCACCTTGTCCTGTATTTCAGCACTTGAAGCCTTAAAAAAGCTTGGATGTCACACACACACACACACACACACACACACACACACACACACACACACACACACACACACACACACACACACACACACACACACACACCCATCACAGAGGAACCTATAATTTTCCCATTTGTTAGTTCTCTCCTTAAGTCAACCAGCTCTTCAGAAACACTCACCTTCCAGTTCCAGATCTCCCCCTCATGCAATCGTGCGTTCCTTCGTGCATTCGTCGTTTCCCCGCCTGTCTCCCTCCAACTGCCTCAGCTTCCCTTCTTTCCTGACGAGGCCCTTCTCTGCCTCCTGCAGGCCGGTTCTTTGATGAGAACGAGTCCCCAGTAGATCCGCAGCACGGCTCTAAGCTGGCGGACTACAATGGGGACGATGGGAACGTTGGTGAGTATGAGGCTGACAAGCAGGCCGAGCTTGCCTACAATGAGGAAGAGGATGGTGATGGTGGGGAGGAAGACGTTCAAGGTGAGCCAGGCCTGGGGGGACTGTGGACCATCTGTCCAGTGTGCATTCACCCTTCCTCCCTCCCCTCACCCTTGTGTCGCCGCTGCATCACTGCATTTGTCCTGAGTAGCTCACAGCACCCTGAGTTTGGCCCGTGATCCAATTATAGATACTTCCTCTTTAGAATTTCTAAGAGGTGTAAAAGGACAGAAAGCAGGACTGCTGTGAATGCAGTTCAGGATCAAACATTTGCTTCGAAGCAGTAACGATTTTGTTTTTCTTCTCTTCGTTTCTTGTACTGAATCCATTGAACTTATGGTTCTGTGAGAGTCATTCAGTTGCCATCTAGTACATTGTGTTGTGCCCGTGCTTCATTTTAGCTAAACCACCTGTCTGTGCCCAGCAAACATCTGACCCACAGTGGGTTTATTTATAGCTCACTGTGCTCCTGAATGTGTGTTCTCCTTGAAACATGAAATGCATGCCCTTGTGGGTTTTTATTTATTTATTATTAATTAATGTGATTGCTTCTTGATGTTGTGCTAGATTTGTTTCAGTGTTGCATCTAGAGATTGTATCCCACTTCATTTACAAGAACATTTCATTCATTCATTCATCCTGCTGACTAGAGTATACGTGTCATTTACACATTTGGGATGTTTGCGTATGAAGTAAAAATGCTTGTGTTGATTGACCACTGAAGGAGTTGGCATCCTAACAACTGTACTTTTCTTTGTGATAGGAGAGAGCAACGCTTCGTTGGTACAGCATCTCTAATGTTTGTGTTTTCCGTCCTCCCCAGATGACGACGATCGTGAAGTCCAAGGAGAGCGAGCTGTGGATTATGGGAAAAGACATCAAGTCAATGACATTCTCTGAATGGGAACTCATGCAGCTATAACTTATTAAAAACATTCAGACCTCCGTCTATTACCGAGGTCCCTTTTGACCCAGTAGTTTAAACGTCACTGTGTTTAAGATTTATTAGAGTGCATCCACAGTTTCATGGACTATTTTGAGACATAGTAACTAATGGATTACGTCAGAATAATTCAACATAATACAAAGAAAATACTCCGTTCTCCTGAGCTGCTACAGATTTGCTAATAGTTTTAAGTTATGACAGAGGAAATGTACTGTACATTGACTGTTGAGATTTGGTACTGGATAACTGCTTCGGTTCTTTATGAAGTAGTTTACGATGCTCACCTCTGAACTTTAAAGTCATCGTTTGTTTAAGCACTTTCTGATTTTCATCTGCTCGATATGAAGAAAGACTTTAAAGAATGGTCTACTGGTGTTTATCACAGACTCTAACGGCCTTCTGCCACTAACAAGCTGGTAGAATCCATGCATTCAAGACTTTTGTTTTACAGGATTGGGAATTTCATTTGCCTCGGGATCTGCTCATGGTCTATTAAATCTTTCTTTTCTGACAGAGACTCAAAAGTGTTTGTCATTTAGTTTTTAAATGCCGTCGCATGCATTAGAATGTTTTTGGTAATCGAACTGAACAACAGTCTGTTGCCTTAGCAATAATTTAAATGGTGTTGGCATCCTTTTCAAAATGACCGACTTCACACACGCTTCCGTCAGAGGCCTCCTGAACTGTTGTTGAACTGTTATCTGTTACCTTTTTGGGATTTTTGTGAGCCTGAAATTGGGTGTTTGTGCAACCCGTGAAAAGAAAATCTCATGGAAAGGCAGTGAATGTAAATTTTATTAAAGGTGAAGCTTCATGTCATCTGTCACTTTTTATAGCACAAAATTAAATGGAACGCACTTGTATTTGGGGGGGCAGTAAGCTATCAACCTGATTTTTACCCAAAAAACCTTTACGAAATATTGTGCAATAATGTAAATGAAATCGCTAAAATGTCATTACATTAACAGCTAAGTTACTTGAAAATGTCAAAGATTGCATCAAGAGTTAGAACAAATATTTATGTTGCGGAGCTCCAACAGAAATGGGTGCAGAATGGAAACCGAGAGGTTGTGCTCAGATGTTGGTGTTCCAGCTGCAGGAGCTGCTGCAGACTAGCTGGTGTTTTCTGAGGGATAAAGGGGGCGTGTCTGTGTCCCATACGGGTATCTGCTTCGGAGAGCCTGAGCAGAGGCGGGAAATGGCGCCTGGTAACGCAACGGTGTGTCATTTGGAAGAAGACGGCCCTTGAACAGCAGAAATACAGAAACACACGGAGCCGATAGCGAAAACAAGCAGTGCATCTGTTATGGTCTAGCTGCCCTGAGTTTTACACACAGCGGGTCACTGTCAAGTAAGTAGCTAATGTTGCAACACTGCCGTCGCGCAGCCTATTTTCTGTTAGGTTTATGTTTAGGTAGCTGTTGAAATGTGAGTTCTGCCCATTCCATGCCTGAGCACATCTGTTAGCCTACAGCCGTTTTCCAAGGAGCCGTAGTGCGATGCTAAGCTTGCGATGCTAAGCTAGCGATGCTAAGCTAAGGACGGCTAAAGGCCCAGTCGTGGACATCGCTAATTTATTACAACTCGTTTAAATGTAGTGCTTATTCGGCAATAATAATAAACTGCCCTGTAAATACTTGACATGAAAATCGTAAAAGTCTGCATAAGTGTCAACGTTTTGTGAAAAAAAGCAATTTAACATTGCTCGCGCCGATGCTAACTTTCATCTCAGACATTCCACAGCTGAGCTTTACAATATATATTAACATGCTATCCGTGCCCTTTGCTCATTGTATATAAAACAACGTGTTGAAACCGATAAGACTCGTCTACTATTTGACTTTAATATTGTTATTCGAATTTGACTGATTTAACTGACATTTTGCTTGATTAACGATGCTCTCCAGTTAGAACTGTACCGAGAGTTGACCAGTTTACCAAGACTTCCTGTTTAGATGACTATTATTTTGAAAGCAATTTAATAATTTTACGGTGATTTTGCTCTGGTTACGATTACCGGAACAATGCCACACTAGCTTGTTGTCGGTAACTTGGCATCTTGCGGCTTTGCTTGCGTTCAGGTACTCCAAACTAAACTGCCAAGTGTAAAGCCACTCTAAAACTGTTTTAAGCAATTCTAAACGTCTGTTAAAAATGAGTTCTCGTGCACACATAACACGACAACCCGTGTTTCATGTCAATGTGTAGAAGATCTTGGTACATTGGTAACATGTACCTTTAGATTAGCTGTGATTCAGCTCCTGACGATCGTAAACAATGCTTCACTCGTTTCTCAATCATCACAAGCCGTCGGGTTCATTGTGAACCACGAAAGGGTTTCTAAAAGGGCCTTAGTGGTTTCTGTGCTTTCCGGAGGCTAGTGTTAGCTTGCATTCTCATACAGCTGCATGGATGTTCCCATTTCCCGCTCACTTGCTCGCATCAAGCTCCGTGCCTGATCCTTGGTCAGTGGCCGGTTCCCCGTGATGCATTTGAGCTTTTTGTGTTTCTGTTTATATGCATCAGGTAGCGTTTAAAAATAACGGATGAACGAGTTTCATCACCGGCTGCATTATAACGTGTGCCATTCATTCGTAGCAGAGGTGCAATGTTTAGAAGACACCAAGTCAAGACTGTGGGAGGAGCAAACAGCAGAAATTCATAGCCCACCATATGAGATTAAATTTAACAGCATATTTATGCAATGATTTAGAGGCAACTAATTAGGTTATAAAATTGGAAAGTGGCTTTTTGAAATCAGTCAATCTTATTTCACCAATTAGAAACAAAACAACTTTTAAGTGGCTTTTAATGCTTGAAAAATAAACTTTCCAGTGTCAAAACAAAACTCACTTTCTACAAATAAAAGTTGGAGTATTTCAAAGTTGAATGTAAAATGCAATTGTTGGCAAGTATCTGACTATCGTGGTTATTGTTTCTAAATTTTCTTCTGTAATTTTAGAGTATGGAGAATCTGGATAAAGGGACCTGATGTGAACTATTATTGAATGACTTTGTTTACATTCAGACACCAGTCCAATTACCTAATGAAAAGTGTTGCATAAACTCACAACACTCCTTTCAATGAACTCTGTTCATTTTAACATCAGCATTTAAAAGTTAGAATCCTGAACGTGTGTTGGGGGACATGTATAAACATGATCCAAGTGTGCTGCAGGCTTTACTTTACTTAAATGTATTTAAAGAGCAAGTCACACTTTACCAGAGTATTACTCCACTCCCAATTCCTGTTTGAAAAATGTAACAAATGCTGTTGCCTAGCAGACCGAGAGGGCGGAGCTGCTAACAAATACACACACACAGGCTCACAACATTGTGACATCATAACGTCCTAGGGTACCCTCTTAGCCAATAGCGATGGCAGATTTTAATTCAAATGCATTGCAGTTTTTACCTGACAACGGCACAACACTGACAATTTTAGGCAGAAAATAAAAAAATTTACTAAAATTCACTAAAGTGTAAAACTATTGACTACACGTGCCTGCAGCACGATTAGACACACATTTATATAGTTTATCAGGGAAAAAAAGTTGATTTGGGGGTGACTTACTCTTTAAAGAGATTATGACTCGTCTCACCTTTATGTTAATATTGTTTTATTTGATGCACTCCACTTTGAACTGCACCAATCCAGCTACTGCTGCATTTTAATAACTAGTATTAAAGGTGAATACACCAATATTTGCACAAGAATAATTTTTGTTTTAAACTCTCAGTGACACACTTTGCAGGGGGGATTTGGCATTTAATTTTTCTTGGCGTCTGGAAAAACATCTCTTCTCCCCACCCCCCACCCCCACCCCTTATTTGGCTTTATGCCCCCTTTATTTTGGTCCAAAATCATTAATGGGCTGGCCCTATTAGAAACATTCTACATCCCTGCTAATTATAATGAAGTATTTTTAAGCCAGAATAAAATGACTGAAACACAAATTTACATATTTGGCATTATTGACCAATATCTTTGATTTAATTTATTTAAGAACATCAAGATGCATTACAGTGAACATTATAATAAAGTAAATTTTTCTAGTGCAGAGAGGAGACAACCCATAGAAGCACTGATTTGATCTCATTTCAGAGAAAAATAGAACAGGTCAGATGCACCTAATAAATAAAATTACTAACAAACTCAGGAATCTATTTCTTTGCTTCATTGTTCAGGTGCTGAAAATATCACTAATGTAGATCAGAGGAGATACTCAGATGAATGCACCTCTTATTTATTATTTGGAAATGTGTGGGTGTGGTTTACATCAATACATTATTTTAAATCTGAAATTTATATGGATTGATCAGAAGCTGCTATGTGTTGTTTATTTATAAACTATTGTTTATTTGAAAACTATTTACAGAGCAGCCTCAGAATTGAGATTAAATGTTTTTGATCACAATAGTAAAGGAACTATTACAGAATGTTTTTCAGTAAAATCAGAACATTAATATTTAAGTGCATGAATTAATACATCTGAACTCATGCACTAGGAAATATGAAATAATAGAACCATTTTATTTTAATTTGATTAAACTGATTTTTTTCCTAACGTTGTTGGCATTTTTCCCACACACAGTTAAACAAAACAATGTTGATTGAGGTGTGTGTGTGTGTGAGAGAGGGAGAGAGAGAGTTAAAATAATAAAAAAAAAATAATACCCCGACCGGAGCGCAGGCAGGGACGACGCATGCACAAGCCGTTTTCAGCTCTGTCTTGTCAAATGCATCACGTACGTTACGCAAAAATTTACTTTAAATATTAAACTGAAAAAGAGGGGAGCTGAAAAAACGTCAGCAACAGTGAAGCAAGCACTGAGAGATCTGTGTGTGTGTGTGTGTGTGTGTGTGTGTGTGTGTGTGTGTGTGTGTGTGTGTGTGTGTGTGTGTGTGTGTGTGTGTGTGTGTGTGTGTGTGTGTGTGTGTGTGTGTGTGTGTGTGTGTGTGTGTGTGTGTGTGTGTGTGTGTGTGTGTGTGTGTGTGTGTGTGTGTGTGTGTGTGTGTGTGTGTGTGTGTGTGTGTGTGTGTGTGTGTGTGTGTGTGTGTGTGTGTACGTGGATGGGCCGGACGGACTGAGCTCCTGGCTGCAGAGTTTTGTGTGTAGGGGGGGCGGGCGCTCTATGTGACTGGCCAATCACAGAGCGTGAAGACAGTCAGTTACCCAATGAGGATTTTCCTTCAGCACGATTACAGATATTTACGAGTTTTACTCGTTTCATGCTTGTGTTCGTCAAAAATGCTTTATCCGTACGCTCATCCCTAGCTGTAACCACCCTGCCCTGCCTCCTCCTCCTTGCTGCCTGCCGGCTGTGATCACAAGCAACAACAGAATAGTTCCCACTGCTTCTTCGGGAAACGGCGCAAAAAAAAAAATCAATAAAACTTGGGATCTTGTAGGCGTGGCGCTGGGATTTCAGCCGTGGCGGGCCGCCACGGCTATGCCTATGTAAGGGAAACACTGGTTTTCTAATTATATTCTGTTGTTAAAGAGCAAGTCACCCCCAAATCAACTTATTAATTCTATATTAATGGAGTGTCTTAATTGTGCTGTTGACACGTGTAGTCAATAATTTAGCACTTTAGTGCATCATAGTCAAAATTGAAATATTCTGCCTAAAACCGTCAGTGTTGTGCCATGGTCAGGTATAAACTGCACTGCATTTGAATATAAATCTGCCATTTCTATTGGCTAAGAGGGAGAGACGCGCACGCACGGACAGAGATGTTTTGCTCTCATACTTCTCTGTTTCCTGGGGAGCGTTGCAAAGCAATTCCCCACCAGGGCAGCAGAGGGCGTAGCGCTGTTCTGTGGTATCCTGTCATGTATCCGGTCCAAGATGGTGTGTTTATATTGTGTTTTTTGTATATAAGAGACTTTTTAACAGACAAATTTGTCTCTCATTCTCCTCCACCTCTTCATGCGCTCGCCTCCAATAAAACCCACGTTTCGTGTCATTTCTGTCCACAAATAAAACGCTTGCTGCAAATCTTTTCACTCCTCCAGTCACGGGGAATTAAACGTTCATGTTTTATTTGTTTTTTTCGTGAGGTATTCTTCAAGCTGCTCCGTGTCTGCCGCTAGTTATCCTCAGCTCTCTTTATGTTTTTGAGTGCGCAATGGTGGTGGTGTAGACGACAGCGGTGCCCTGACCAATCACAAGCTTGCGTTGTCCGTCTCGACAGACGGATGTTTAGAAAAGAGAGCTCGACTCCGTCCGTCCTTGCGGAGCTCTCCAGCAGGCCTGCAAGGACGGATAATGGCGTTACGTGTCTCCGCACTGACACAGACGGAGAAGCATGAATCAGGCTTTAGACCCTGGTGAGGGGTGACTTGCTCTTTAAAGTAAAGGAAGGAGAGGGAAAAAGGTTTCCCTAGCAATGTTTACATTTGAAAAATGTATTTATTTTTTTCCTTATCAGGTTCTTTTACATTTGAGTCCAAATCATTTTATTTTGAGAATCTGATACTGAGGATTAATCTGAAACTTAAATAAAGAAAGCAACGAAACAGATCATGGATGTTTCTTATATTTTAATTAATTCACTTTATTTAAACATTTAACAAACCTGTAAACACAGTCGTGTTCTGTTGTTAAAGTAAAGGAAGGAAAGAAAAAATGTTTCCCTAGCAATTTAAAACAAATTCCTGTTTAATCTGATTAATCGATGATCCGAATAATCATTTGTTGCAGCCCTAACTGCATGTGCTTCAGGATTTATTGCAATCTAGATTTTAGACCATATTCAATTAAATTCAAAAATACTTTATTAATCTCAGAGGGAAATTAATTGCTGTAGTAGCTCAGAATAATAATAATAATCAAGTCATCAAAGAGTTATTGTATATTACAATGGCTGTTGGCAGGAAGGATCTCCAGTAGCGATCAGTGTTGCAGCGAAACTGAAGAAACCTCTGACTGAAGACACTCTTCCGTTGTCGGACAGTCTTGTGAAGAGAATGCTCAGGGTTGTCCATCATTTTCTTGATTCTCTGGAGAATCCATCTTTGCATTATCTCCTCCAGCGGTTCCACAGTCGTCCCCAGAACAGAACCAGTGTTTTATTAGGCTGTTTAGCCTTTTCAGGTCCCTGCTTCTGATGCTACAGACGATGGCTGAAGAGATTACACTCTCAACAACAGACTTGTAGAAGATCTGCAGCATCTTGCTACAGACACTGAAGGACCTAAGCGTCCTCAAGAAGCGCAGTCTCTGTCTCTCTTCTTGTAAATGGCTTTGCTGTTCTTTCTCCAGTCCAGTCTGTTGTCCAGGTGAACTCCAAGGTATTTGTATTCCTCAACCACCTCCACTTCTTCTCCCATGATGGAAACAGTGTTTGACTCTACCCTGTTTCTTCTGAAGTCTAAAATCATCACCTTTGTTTCGTCCACGTTCAAGGTCAGATGATTGTTTCCACACCATGCCACAAAGCGCTCCACCAGCTCTCTGTACTCAGCTTCCTGTCCATCTCTGATACACCCGACAACTGCAGAGTCATCTGAGTATTTCTGTAGATGACAGGTCTCTGATTTGTACTGGAAGTCTGAGGTGTACAGGGTGAAAAGGAATGGTGAGAGTACAGTCCCCTGTGGGCTGCGCAGTGGTTAGGGCTGTTGCCTTGCAGCAAGAAGGTCCTGGGTTCACTTCCCGGAACTGGGATCTTTCTGCATGGAGTTTGCATGTTCTCCCTGTGCATGCGTGGGTTCTCTCCGGGTACTCTGGCTTCCTCCCACAGTCCAAAAACATGACTGTTAGGTTGATTGGTCTGTCTAAATTGTCCTTAGGTGTGTGTGTGTGTGTGTGATTGTTTGTCCTGTGTGTCTCTGTGTTGCCCTGCGATGGACTGGCTCTCTGTCCAGGGTGCACCCCGCCTGATTGCCCGTTGACCACTGGAGATAGGCACCAGGACCCCCCCCCCCCCCGACCCTGCGCGGACAAGCGCGTTCAGAAAATGGATGGATGGATACAGTCCCCTGTGGTGCTCCAATGTTACTGATCGCCTGGTTTGATGTGCAGTTCTTCAGCCTCACAATCTGTGGTCTGTTTGTCAGGTAGTCTTTAATCCAGGCGATAGTTGAGGCCCCCACCTGTGTCTTCTGGAGTTTCTGGCAAAGTACATCAGGCTGGATTGTGTTAAATGCACTGGAGAAATCAAAGAACATGACCCTCACAGTGCTGCCTGCTTTGTCCAGATAACAGTGGGTTGGTTGAAGCAACTGGATGATGGCATCTTCAACTCCTAGGTGATAAGCAAACTGCAGCGGGTCCTGATATGTTCTAGTTAGCTTAGTCAGGTGGACCAGCAGGAGTCTCTCCAGGACCTTCATGATGTGGGATGTCAGGGCAACCGGTCTGTAGTCGTCATTGACTGATGGGCGAGTTTTCTTTGGAACTGGAACAAGGCAGGATGTCTTCCACAGGACTGGAACCTTCTCCTGGGCCAGGCTGAGGTTGAAGAGGTGCTGCAGAATCCCACAGAGCTGCTCTGCACAGGCCTTCAGTACTCTGGGGCTGACACCATGTGGACCTGCAGCCTTGTTCCTGTTCAGCCTCCAGCTGCCTCTTCACCTGACTTCTAGAGACAGATAGGTGGGAGGGGGAGGTAAATGGGGCAGCAGCATCTCCTGACTTGGTTGAAGACAGATTTATAGAACCAGAAGAGTCCATGACTGCGTTAGAGGACAAAAGAGCTGGCGTGTGACAGGAAAATGTATATATCTTTAGGATAAAAATCCTATAAAAAGGAAAATATCGCCCATTCTTAACGCACAGCGCGCACCTGCTTGCTGTGAGACTGGGTTGGGGTGGGGGGTGCAGCGCACCTTCGATCAATGTGCCTGCAACTCCATCACATAGCAGAACTCCTTCAGGCGTGTGGTATTTGTGGAGATAAAACATCAACGTTGCAGAGTCAGTGGTAGAGTTCGCTTATTAGAGGTAAGATGTCCAAATCCTGCCGTGTTCTGCCACTTTCTCCTCCACCTGTCGTCTATTTCCTCAAAAAGGAGCATCAGAGCTTTTTTTTCTCCAGAGAAAGACTCACAAGGTGTTCTTTCCTAGGTATTAATTCCTAGCCTGGCGTCCTAGACGACTCCTCTCCCATTCAAATAACTCCACCCTGTGAGAATTCTAGCCGTGCCAATCAGCGCTGAGCAGCGTACGTCACACACAACGCCGAGTTTCTCATAAACAATGAAGACAGCGGTGGAGTTCGCTGCTGCTCGTTCCTCTGTTTTAAATTACTTGAACGTCTTTAAAACAACAAGCAGAAGCGCTAAAAGCCTTCTATTAAAAAAAAAAGATGTTTGCGCCATTTTGACCACAGCTAAAAAGCTACAGCGTCGTGCTGTACAGTCGGCCTTTCAGTCTTTTCTCTGTGCAGAATTAAACAGAGGACGAGTCTGGCAGGCCAGGCGTATTCATTCCTACTGGAGACCACTGCAAATGTATTTAAAAGTTGACATTTAATTTTTGCATGTCTGCTCCAAATTAAGTGAAAAAGGGTTTAGTTAGATTTTTCCTTTGGTCGCTTTAGCTGCGTTTCAAAATGTTGTAATGTGCTCTGTGTTGGTGGAATTGCATGCAAGCAGGCCGTCTTGGGGGGCTTATTTATATCTAGTTGTGTGATCTTTGGATCAGTAACACTTAAAACTTGAGTGTAGCCTTTGATCGTATATAAAAAGTCTAAAGAAGAATCCGAGGAGCACATGTAGGTTAAGATAGCATTCCATAAAGATGATTGCTTTACTTGTAACGCGTTCATTCACACTAGTGGGGCATGTGTGTTGCCCTGTCCAGGTTATCCCTCCCACGATGTATAGTCTTCATGCTTGTCACACTTTTCCCTCCTTTCTTTCAGATGGTACAGTACACTCCAGGGTTAAAGGTGTTTTTTTCGTTCTCCATGCATCATATTCAGCATCAGCTGCATGTGTTCACACTTATCCTTGTTCTGTCTTCCCCTGGATCCACAGATTCCCCTTTTTTCTATTCATTTTCTCTCTCCCTTTTTCTTACGTTTCAATTTTTTTAAAATTATTTCTAATTGTAAGCATTTGTAATCATTTAAAAAAAATTACACGTAATCGTGATTTTTATCTTGAGAGGCGCTATATAAAAGATCGTCTTTTCTTTCCTGTTGTGTAGCTGGAAAACGGATGTTAGCATCTACAGAGTGATGTATAGCGTGCACTGAGAAGGCACAACACAGTGTTTAGTTACTTAGCTTCAAATAATAAATGCATTTTTTTTCACCAATTCTTTGGTTTGAGCTGTAACTCTTCCAAGTTGGTCTCTTGTGTAGCCATGTTGGTCTTTTGTTTGTTTTGTTGTTGTGAATGCAACTCTCATCTAATATACATATAGTTCATCCTGAGCGGTGTTAGTAAAACTTGTTTATTATAAGATCCGGGGAGGTGCTTTTTTTTACCCGTACAAATGGAAGTGAAGCCAGCTGTGGCTGCTGTGATGCACTGATGTAAGTGGAATGGGATCTTAAATGCATCCAGATGTTGCAGAAAATGAACAGATACTCCTGCTCAACACGTCCTGCATTAACAATAGGAGACTTTGAAACATTTGTTTTTTTCTGTAACTGATGAGTATGCACCAATTTCTCTCCAATCAAACACGGTGGATTCCTTTCTCTGTATGCTTTTTCTCCTTACACTTGTTTTTTTTTTTCACTTCTTATTAACAGCCTTACATGTGACGGCTAAAACAATGAGGCTGAGAATGCGTAAGGCGTCTCAGCACCAAAACCCAGCTCTGACAAACCGCACATCCCGAACCAAGAGGAAGCATTCAGAGGTAGAAGATGACCCTCCTAGCAGCGAAGGGGGCGGATTGTTCTCCACCATCAAAAAGTTCATCCGAGGAAACGCAGTCAAGGTAACTATCTCTAGTTAACACGTTACCCAGCTATTAAATAAAAGTTTTGTGGAGAATAAGTTGCTTCAATCTTTTTTGGGGTTTAGTTGGTTTCTGGTCCAGTTTTCACAAATGTAAGGTGTTTAACTATATGCTCTTCGGGTCCCCAAACTAGACGCAGTGTTTCTAGTTGCCGAGTGTCATGTTTCCCAAGAAATGCCTGGAGGAATGCAGCCGCTTGTCCGAGAACGCTGCTTCTGGTCTAATTTTAGCTTTTAGCTCACAAAGTTGGCGCGCAGGGACAGGAGGTTGTAACAAGTGGAAAAGTCAACTCAGCCAAAAGTCTTTCCTAAAGACGGGGAATGTTTTGACAATTTCAAATAATTATTTCCTCAGCAATTTTTTAACAATACATCTTAATGAGTCATGTAGCAGTAGAAAGAGTAGCTAGAAGAGCAAAGCTCAGTGAAAAGAACGTACTGTTTAGAAGGAAGACATGTCTGGCCCTGCCGCTTTTTGTTCCACTTAGCCGCAGTTTACCAATAACCGTTGTTTGTCAGTCACGTTTACAACACACACACAGCAAAACAGAAAATTTTGCATTGCCAAAAAATTTTGGGATGCATAAAAAATTTGGGGCCAAAACCGAAAATGAAGAAAACAAGGCTGAAACACAGAAAGAAATGATGGTTAATTATTAGAACCATAGCATTTATGGTGTGTACTAACCCCACTGAAAAAGAGGCATTGCAATAAATCAAATATAAAACTTTGAGAATTTTTATTTAGCACTGACTTAACAGCGCACACTATAAATTAAAATTAGAAAAATGTTTCACTTGACCCCACTCATGTGTACATTAATTAATAATAAACTGTTTAGTTGCTGAATTTTTGGTGCGTCCCTAAAAAATGTGTGCATAGAGCAGGGGCCACCAACCTTTTTGAAACCGAGAGCAACTTAAAGGGTACTGAGTAATACGAAGGGCTACCTGTACATGACACACTTCAGAAAAGTTATATAGTTTATTTTTATTTTTAATTCATTATTATTATTATTATTCAAATAATTCAATGTTGATATGTCTGATAACATTTAATTTGCTTCTCAAATAATAATAATGATTTAAGGCAGGAAACAGATCAATCTCAACACTAAGACACATGGACTCTTCTTTTTGGCAGGTCTGCTAACCAATCCCTCCATGTCTGCTTCTCCCTCATCTGCCATAGCATGAGTTGCAAAACAAGCTGCAAAAAAAATAATGGCTGCATGTTTAAACCGTATACATAATCACATTCCTCCTTATATACAGGCCAAATCTATCTGCAATGGATAAAAGCAAAAATACACACACACACACACAGCTCTCACTTTCTCTTTAGTCGCAAATTTTTGTTACTTTTTATTTTTTCACTCAAATTTCGGCACGAATATTCAACAGTGAAAGTAACGTTACGTGTTCACATTCACCAAAAGACGGCCGGTCCGACCCGCTGACACACAGTTTACCTTACCAGAACAGCAGCGAGTGGCGAACCGGAGGGAGAGAGGAGCAGCGGGAAGGATGAAGGAGGGGGGGCGGGGGTGTTACGCTACAAGTTAGGCCAGAGTTAGGCAGGATAGGTTTTCTCTGCTTTTCTATGATGACTGGCTTAAACTTCTTCACCACGCCGCTGAGTCGTGTCGTCAAACATGAGTACCACACGTGTTTGTCACAGAACTCAACTCACGTATCCGCAGCTTTTTGCGTAGTTTAGAGGGGTGAGGCGTACCAGCGTACATAGATGCCACATTGTGTACTGGCTACGCAAAAAGCGTGCAGGTTGGCAGGTCTGCTTTACACATAATTGCACTTTTTTAGTATTATACACTTTGATTACACGATAATACACTAACTTACTATGTAATTACCATGTAAGTACTTAGTAATTAGGGGACTGTAAAAGGAAGCGTTACCAATTGGTTTTTTTTTTTTTGGATACTGTGTTCGCATCGATGAGATAATTATGCAAAGCCTCTCATATAAATGAACTTTTGTTAAGTTTCTGACTACTTTCAGAAACCACCTGTTGGCGTTTGTTTAACGGAAGTATTTTAAATCTGTTCAGATGAATTTTCTTAAGTTACCGGTTAGGGCTGGGCGATATGGCAAAAATAGAATATCACGATTTTTCCAATATTTTATCACGATTTCGATTTTATCACGATTTTTTATCCATGAATAGCATAACTTCAATTGCGTATTAAAGAAGAGAAACAATGAATAAATAAACATGTATTCATATTAATGAACACAGTGCTAACACACTTATATTTTAAACTCACACCAGCGATGATAAAAGCCCTGAGAGAAACAATTACAAAAATCAGTTTTTCTCGTTTTTCAAGTAACTTAGCATAAATTAAAATCGTAAACATATTTAAAGTGCAAACATGTCAATTGCAAACGTATTGAGCAAACATTAACTTGTTCAAAATACTATGTAGCTCCCAGTTGCTCATGTAGTGGATAGTTAAGCTCATATACGGCTCTGATGTGCGGCTGGACCAGAGATCGCTTGTGGTAGCAAATAACTGCGCATTCTGAATATTTTCTGCAACTCTCACTTTGCATTCAGCGTACATGCGTGGAATGGCGATGTTCGAAAAATACTTGCGGCTGGAAAACTCGTAGCACAGATCCAATGTTTTTATCATTTTCTTAAATCCCACTCCTATTCGCACGGGACACAAATATTTAACCAAGTGGTACGTCACTGCATCTGCCACGCTGTTCCATCGTCTGCTGTCTCTGTCGTAGGGAGTGAGTTTTGTGTGTTTCTGTTAGCGTTTACTGCCTGGAAGAAGCACTAGCCGCTGCAGCTGCAGGCTTTTTAGCTTTAGCTGCCAGCTGGCTCTCATTGTATTGTTTGGGATGCCTTCTTTTCAAGTGATCAAACTAGTTTGTGGTGTTGCCATCACTTGCCTTGACTCTCTCCTTGCAAACTTTGCAAATGACGTTTCACTGCTCTTTGTCATCTGGTGAAAAACCAAACCAGTTCCATATAATGGACGAGGCGTTCCTCTTCGGAACGAAAACCTCGCTGTCGCTCTCAGCCGCGGCCGAAGCCATGTTTGTTCACACACAGGTGAAAACAAGCGGGGCACTAATATATTACCATGACTCTCTCTGATTGGTTAAGGGCCAAACAAAGGCGTGTCATTCGCCTGGGGTAAGTTCCCTTTTCATCCAGAGGCAGAATTTCAACAGCAGACCTGTGAATCGTGATAGAAAGGTCTCTCAAAAATAACAGACCGTCAGATGTGTAGATCGTAAAACGGTCTAAAATCGTCATATCGCCCAGCCCTATTACCGGTACATGAGGTAGGGCCCTGACAAAATAAATATCCACTTCAGATATGGCTCGCCGTCTCCTGAATTTATTTTGTTGGTAAAACAACTGGTTTTGCGAGCGAGTGAGCACAGAGAAATGTTTATGATTGGTCAGTCCATGTAATATGATCATGCTGCACATCCACACATCAGTCCCTTTGCTAATGTCAAGAAGGATGGTCAGCAGCGCAGGTTGGGTGTTTGCTGACCTGCAACAAAGTTATACAGAAAGTGGCTGAGGGTCATCAAACATGCAGGAAGGGTGTTCGCTGGGTGCTTTTGGGGGGAAAAGCCACAAAGGGAGTCTGAAAAGTGGTTAGAAATAGAGACAAAGTTGCCAAGTTTGTAACAATGTGTGGGAGGTGCACTCAGTTTGAAATGCAGAGCAGCACGAGAGTAAACCGTGAGGGAGGAGCTAATAATCAACTTTTTGTTTTTAGAATTGTTTAAAACCCAGATGGTAAAATAAGTGTTGTCTACCATTTACAGCTACTTTTACTTTCTCAGTTCCAACAGGAAAGCCCAGCTAAGAAGACGCACCTCCACTGCGATGTGGACAACAACATTATAACCTCCACGCCCCCAAACACTAACCCTTCCAGGAGGGCTGTGACCAGAGTAGACAAGAAAGATTCCATCAATGGACGTGAGTGACCAAAAAATACAAACTATTGGCTGGGTTTCATCTCTGCTTCGTGGAAACTTGTGATTCTTTTCTGCAGAGGCAACAAATCATGATAGGAATAAGGATAAGCCCAATGGGGGTTTGGAGGAAACGACTGCTGTGGAGATGACCACCAGCCCTCCAAGAACCACCCTACTCGGGACGATCTTCTCTCCGGTTTTTAACTTCTTCTCACCAGCCAAAAGTGAGCAGCCCTGATGAGTGGGTGGAAGCTCACTGAACATCATTTAGCTTTTTACCATTATCATACTTAACTCATTCACTGCCAATGATGACTAAAGTCTTTATTTGCGTTTTTTTTTACTGTGTGGGCATCGGAGTGAGCCCCCGCGCTGAGGGAACAAACATCTCAGCTCTGAAGCCGATCTTCATCTGCATATGTCACACGTCACATGATCAGGAAGCAGAAAATCCATGTGTTAGGAGATTGTTTTGGGCCGTTCCTGTAAAAAAAAGAAAAAAAGTGAGGCGCGAACCAGAAAAGCATCTGCCGATCACAATTTGACAGCGGATTATGAAAGAACGGATAACGCTCGAAACGCGGATTCTTCCTGATGTAAGAGGCGAGTCTCCTCTTTATTTGGGTTGTTTTGGCGTCGGCATCATCCTAGCGCGCAACGTTCTGCCACTCTTAAAAAAACCCAGTAAAAACGGCGAGAAACGGCTGGCAGCGAATGAGTTAATATGAAACTTTTTTTAGTTGTGTTGGTTAATGTTAATGAAGTAAAATTCCCTTCATGGTGTTTTGTTTCTTAGCGTCTTCAGGCTCAGATTCCCCCGACCAGGCGTTGGAGGCCGAGGAGATCGTCAAACAGCTGGACATGGAGCAGGTGGTAGAGACGACCACAAGCACAGCTATGTCCACACAGGAGCTGTGCTCCGCCACAAACTTCTACTCTAGTGTTTCTCCGCTGCCTCCTCTACGGCCGCCACACATGCTGGACGCATCTCCCACAGCAGAGAAGGGCGAGCTTGACGCTGATGCTGATCTTCCTCCTCTCACGGGTGAGCATCACAGAGCATTTGACACATCTGTCTCCGACGTTACCATGAAGCTATCCCAACTGCTGTGGACAGCTGCTAGTTATTTGTTGACATGTGATTGTTGTTAAAGCTCCAGGTTCCCATCCAGAAATGACTTATGTGGAGGTTCCTGCAGCTGCAGTACCACCAGAAGCATCCTATGAAGAAGACTGGGAAGTCTTTGACCCGTGAGTGAAACAACACAGTTAAACCAGTATCTAACTGGACTCTTGACTGTAGGCGAGTAGTGGTAGACATACAGCTTTGAGGAAAATATGCAAAGTTTCAGTTGGAAATGCACTGAGTTGGAACGTACAGCACATGTAAAACGTGTGGGGCATGTGACATTGTAAACAAATGGTGGCTGTTCAGCAGATCTTCTTGTTGCAATAGTCTTCTTTACATCTGACGTCACTGCAAGTGCTGCTGGCTGCTAAAGCTAGGCAATTGAAAAAAGGACAAAAAAATGTCCTGTTGTGACATCCGATCTGTAAATGTAGAGTCCGATTGGCACGAGCCCAACGGGAAAGCTTGGCTTCTTCCCATCTTTAGGAGATGAAACCACAGCTCTGACTATTGGAGTGACTCAGACCCACAGGCACCCATGCAGAAGGCACGCTTGCTTGTTTCTTTATCCCAGAATGCATTGTGGCTTTGCATCACAATCTTTTTTTTTTGCTACTGTAAAGTATGCTGTTTAGTCAGAAAGTGTCTCAATTTGTTTGCCACGTTTTATTTCACATTTTGTCTCCTCCTATACTCTGCATAAACTCACATTTCTAGCACTTTGTAACTCGTGGAAACTAACGGAAGATGATATGTATTGCACAATTTAATTTATTTTGAAAGTTTGAGAGTCTAGAGCCACGACAACAAAGCCTTTGTGATTTGTTAGAGGAAAAAACACACTCCTCACCCTAAAGCCAAATTATTGTAGCAAAATCAATTCAGAAGAAAGAAAACTTACTGAATTTATACATTTTCCGTAACAAAAAATGTAAAAGTTGAGCCGTCGCGTTAGGTAGCTGATCTGTTCTGGATTAAATGAACGTCTCTTCAGTTCCAGCTGTTTAATTTGCTCTTTAGTGAGCTCACAGATAATCATTTTGCCTCAGCTTCTGTTGAGAGTTGGAAACTGAGCAGGTGGAAAACAAAAAAAAAAACACCAACAAGCACCAGCTTGTTCATGATTCAGTGGAATCATCCAAAACAGAAGTTCTAGCTGGATCCTTTCAGTAAAGTCAGTGGGCAATGGCTCAGTATTAAATATTGATGTGCATGTATTATTTCCCTGTCTTAAAGCCTGTTTTTAATTTGTAGGTATTTCTTCATCAAACATGTCCCACCATTGACAGAAGAGCAGCTCACCCGTAAACCAGCCTTGCCTCTGAAGACACGCAGCACGCCTGAATTCTCCCTGGTCTTAGACCTGGTCAGTGGAAAAGTCTTCTTCTTTCTCTTTTGGCTTTTCCCTTCAGCGGTCGCCACAGGGGTCCTCTGCCTCCTCTACCCTCACGCATACTAACTAGTAAGAGGCAGTGTTGTCAGATCACGTCCACCTGTCTGGTTTCTAGAGCTGTAGCGAAGCGTCGATGAAGTCGACGGCTCGATTCTAAAAATTCGTCGACGTCAGATCCGGTAGTCGACGCACCGCGCCCACTTGTTGCATCCCCAGGAGTTTGTAAATAGAGGAGGAATCTGCCCGTTTTTCCTCTAGTTTGCCCTCTTCTCCGCCTTCACTAACATCTCCGCCAAATACCGAAGACCCGGAACAACGTCCGTCCGCTACCAGATTCCTTTCCTGTTTTGCCCGCCTTTGTCTCCCGGCAACGGACAACAACTTCCGGGATCAGATGCGCTGCTTCGTCTCTACCGCAGATGTAGAAAATCACCGGGAGCGTTTCTCCCTTCATAAAGGAGCTTCTTTCAGACATTAGAAGAGCTGTTTTGGTGGTAGCAGTCTCTCCTCCGTGGTCTTTTTGCTGGTATTTTTGGTTTATTTAAACTTGGTAACTTGAACTTAACTCATTCACTGCCAGCCGTTTCCTGATCGCTAACGGCCTTCGCTGCCAGCGTTTCTCACCGTTTTTACTGTTTTTTTAAGAGTCACAGAACGTTGCGCGCTAGCATGATGTCGACGCCAAAACAACCAAAACAAAGAGGAGACTAGAGCTGAAACAACTAATCGATTTAATCGATTATAATCGATTATTAAAATAGTTAACAACTTTTTTAGTCATCGATTAGTTGTTTAATAATCATATTTTACCGCATAAAGTCTATTTTTACCACAATCTGACATCGGTTACAAGCTGTTAAATTTACCGCCAGTGTGTGGCAGTAATGAGCCGCTGATCTACCAGTGGAGCCGTAGAAGAAGAAATGAGCCAATGAGTGCCCTCGGTTTTCATGACGTATCACGTTACTGACGCTCATCTTGCTGTGAGAGATGGCGGATCAAGAGGAAATACGGAAGAAAAATAGAAGCGACAAAACTTTAGAGAAACCCCGGACAAAAACCTCACGAGTATGGGAGCACTTCACTCTAGATGCCTTTAAAAGGCAAAATATGCAAAAACCATCTAGCATGGCACGGAAGCACGACGTCCCTAAGTGAACATTTGAGACGAAAACGTGGGGGCTGATGCAGCAGAGGAAGAGCACCGCGGTCAAGTGAGCCGTCATTTGGAAGAGCCAGCCCGGTAAGTAACAGAAAATAAACAAGCTGGACTTAGTGTTTTAGCTGAGATCGTTATAGTGGATGTTAAACATGTTTTTTTGCCGCGTCAGTCTACGGTGTTCTACTTCTGATTGACTAGATGCAATCATGAATCTCCTCCGTGTTGTGTATCATGCGCTTGCCAAATTCAGCACGTCTGTTTATAAGAATGTTCTCGTTAAGAGAAAAACGGCACAAACCCATAACTATGTTCCTCATTCAAAAAAGGACAACTCTGCGGTGAAAAATATACAGACGAGCTGTGTCCAGGTGAATATAACGCGGCATAGTTGTACGCTTTCAATTTTTAAATACAGGAGAAATTCAGAAAAAGTCACTTTTTTACTATTAAAAGGCTGTTTTACTGTCTAACGCTGTAAAACGCCTCACAACACATTTTTATCATGTTTCTTAAACAGTATTACACAAAATAAACATTTTTCACATTTCTCTAGCTAATTTAAACACTCCCGACTCAAAGTAAAAACCTCATGAGCTTCTTACTTAGAGCTTTTTAATAGTAAAAAAATTAGACTTTTTTTCTGAATATCTCCTGTTGCGGGCTATTTTGTAGAACGTAACCCTCAAAATAAATGATCACTGTATATTGTTAATTAATTCAAATAATATAATATTGATTTAGTGTTGTAGTGTGTGTGCTGCTTTATTTTATATGTGTACTTAGTTCAGTCTATTTGTGTTTCTTATGCAGAAAAAAAACAAGCAACGATGGACAACTACATGGGGAACAAGACACTCACCCCCCAGCAATTCATACCACTTACAAACTCTATTCTAAACATGCTGGTAAAAGACATGAGGCCACTATCCATGGTGGAAGGAGCAGGCTTCCAGCTAATGCTAAAAAATTATTCTGGACTGATATTTTGCACTGTTTAGCTCATTTTATACTGCTGACTGTGTTCATGTGCAATAAAATAGATTGCAGTCAACTGCACAATTCTCTTATGTTTTTTTTTCTTAACTGAAATGCATGTATAGGTTAAATAGCTAAACAATAACAAACCGATTAATCGATTAATCGAAAAAAATAATCGACAGATTAATCGATTATGAAAATAATCGTTAGTTGCAGCCCTAGAGGAGACTCACCTCTTACATCAGGAAGAAGCCGCGTGTTTCGAGCGTTATCCGTTCTTTCATAATCCGTTGTTGAATTGTGATCGGCAGATGCTTCTCCGGTTCGCGCCTCACTTTTTTTACAGGAACGGCCCAAAACGATCTCCAAACACATGGATGGTCTGCTTCCTGATCATGTGATCTGTGACGTATGCGGATGAAGATCGGCTTCAGGGCTGAGATGCTTGTTCTATCAGCGCGGGGGCTCGTTCCAATGCTCAAACAGTAAAAAAATGCAAATTACGACTTTAGTCGTCATTGGCAGCGAATGAGTTTACGTTGGTAAAGCTACTGTTAGCATTTTCGCTAACAACATCTTGCGTTTGGATAAGCTGTTACGTTTTGGTTTAGAGTTCATCGTTTTTGTGGTGTAGATCTCCCTTTTATTACATTTAGAGTGTTGTGGGTTTTAAAATATCACCTTGAGTTTGGTTTAACCACCCAGTTTAGAGTTTGGACCTTTGGAGATCCTTATTTTGGGCCAGAACCCAGTAATCTTTGCCCAGTGGGACATCCCTACTTTTTTGTACTTTTGGTTTAATTCCCCACAGGCAGAATTAGTTTTATTATTCCCAACCTGTGGATGGAAAGATTTATGTTTTTTTGTAGTTGTAAATAAACCTGATCATCATTTTAACTTTTAAATCCCGTTATTGTCCCTTCCTTTTTGCACACGAGCCAAACTCCCCAGGAAGAGTCGTAACACCACTTGCCTCACGCACATAAGTGACCAAAACAAAGCAGCATGGAGATACTCTGTCTCCAGCCACCTCTCAGGCAGCAGCCTGCACTCCCAAGTTCTACACGTCACCAGAACATAACCAACCGCAACACAATAAAAGCAGTGTTATACAAAATGGAAGGCCTGTAGTGTTTATTCTCTTACAGTAACAATTTATCAATTTTTTGAAGAATTTATTAGAGATTTTTTGTTTTTTATTAACTGTGCAATAGAAAAATAATCATTAGATTAATTGTCTAAATAGTCATTGGAATAGTCGACTATTCGATAAAATAATCGTCAGAAAAATCGTTTTAAAAATAATCGTTTACCCCCAGCTCTACTGGTTTCTATTAACTTTATTAAATTCCGGTCATAAACAAACATGAGCCTTCTCTCTCTGACATCATCCCCTCCTGCCTTTTTTTAGTTCTTGAACATCGACTACAAAACAATTTAATCATAAATTTGTTCTTAAAAAGACGAGTGGAACCTTTTAAAGATCTTTAAAACCACCCAGTGTTCCGCAGAACCACATCATTTGGTTACATTGGTGAAGGATAAATAGTAATCATTACATTATATACTCTGAGTTGTGGAATAAATATTCTTTTACTTTCTGATTACACATTTTTTAGGTTTACAAATTGTAATATGCCAATTCACCATTTAATAGATGCATCGCAGTGTGACATATGCAGATTCAAAATCGATTTGTAAAGGTTCATAAATAATTGTAAAGGCGAAAATACACGTTTACATCCCAGGTGAGATAAAGAGAAGAACCCGGTGGACGTTCCTCCTAACCAGCCAACAACTGAGGAGGGATTAATAAAACTTGCCCATAGTTCCAGCCTCTTTCATAACGCTACAGCGCTAGTTAGCTGCAAATGAGGCAGCACCAGGGAGCCTTTGGTCATTTATGAGTGAGTGATCAACCTGTGGCGGTATTGTGGGACGCTCGTGTGTTTTCACAAAGATTAACCAATGGTGGTATAAAGTGGGTGTGGGGGCCGTCACCGTGCCGTCATTTGTTTGTTATGCCGATTGAAGCAAACCTCCTTAAGCCGGGCATACACTGTGCGACTTTTTCACGTTTTTGAGCCGATTTTTCCACTCTTGCCAGAATCCACAAGATCGGGGCGAGTTTTGCGCTGAGCGTCGTGTAGTGTACAGGGGGTTACGAGAGGCGATTAACACCATGTGACCAGCTACCGATCAGCAATCGTGAGCTCGCACGGACTTCTGGAGTGTTTGATATTTTGCTCGTTCCTAGGGAGGGCTGAAGCGGCACAGCGAGTGGCTGCAACCCAAAAAGTACCAGAACCGCTCACGGAGCATGCGCAATCATGCATCAACACCGCTCGCCCGCTATTTCCCTAATAACACGTTCGTTTTTTATTTCTACATGTTTTTTTACACACAGTGACGAGGATTGTCAAGAAAACGTGTTTGTCGTGTTCATGTCAAATTAAACTGATCACAAAACACAGATTTACTTTCTTTATTTCATTTTCCTCATCCAACCCCCATAAATCCCTGTGTGTCCTCCTGCAGCACTCCCGAAGGACAACAGGCAAAACAAAAAAGTCTGACGTGTTGAGTAAAAACTGCTATTTTTTAGCATATTTTTAGGGCCGACGTGTTGCTACCAGACGTACAGTGTGAGCGCATGACTCGTGAGATCTGCCCTGCGAGGAAGTCGTACAGTTTGAGCTGAAGCTGAGTGCTACGAGTGAAAAAGTCGCACAGTGTCCGCCCAGCTTTAGGTTTTTTTCCCCAGCCGCTCCAAAAGTGTTTGTCTTTCACGGTCTCTTTGAACTGTCTAATGATCTGAGCTTCAGATCTAAAGACCAGAAGCTCCAGATTTCTGCTTCTCAGCTGATTCAGTTATTCATCTATTTTCTGTAGATTTCATGAAAAAGTATGTTGGGTCTGTGTTCAGTCTTACATGAATAGGATGATGGAAGGAAAGGTATTTGGTAACTTGAATTAATGTGTGTTGAATTAATTTGACAGTATGAAAAAGTTTGATGAGGAAAGAAACTAAATGGTGAAAAACTGCATCAGAAACAGCAGTAATCATGATGATCTAAACTTGGGCGGTATCCATATTTTAATACCGTCCAACTTCCTCCACAGTTAACCTCGGTGTTACCGGGACTAGTTTAAAAATGATGACGTAAGCCTCGTTACCAAACTGTTGGTTTGGACCTTCACCGTTCAGAAACCGAAAACATAACAACAAAACACACATAATAAAAGAAAAGGAAAAACACACCGTACCTGCGGGCTCCTGAGCTGCTAAAAACGGCTAAATGTGCGCGTGTGGCGCGTTAAACACACGTGCAGCTTGCCCCTGATTGCTGTGAGACCGGGTTGGGGGGTGGGGGGGTGCAGCTGTGGTTGGGACAATCATTACATTAACTGATGGACTTGTAAATAAATAGTATATAAATAAGGTAGAAATAAGTTCCTCACGCTGATGACTAATAACTAATCTCTCTGAGGACACGGTGCTAGTGCACTCTCCTACAGCACCTTGACACGACTCAATAAATGTTATGCAACATTTTGTGAACACCAATTTATTTGCATTTATTTGTTATAAATGCCACTGTATAATTCTTGCTGTCAGTATTTGCAAGATATTGGTATTTGGGTCTGTACTGGTTAGACTTACATGAGTTAAACCAAGGTCTATGAGCTATAAGTATATTGGTCTTTTTATACTGGGAATCAGGAGTTATTTTAGTGATCATCTTGTTTCTTATTTATTTTTGTCCTGATTGTGCCCTGAGCAATTTTATGACTGAATAAAAACAAATAAAATCAACATAAATTGAAAATTCGCCTTAAATAATCGAGATCTCAATTTCAGTCACAATAATCATGATTATTATTTTTCCTATAATCGAGCAGCCGTATGAAAACGATTTCTAAGGAGCCCAGTGTTACTGCGAAACCATGAATTAATATAAACACATTTTCTTGTACTTTCATCTATCATCAGATTTATTGTTATTGCTAAAATAGTCAGATCTGTCACTCCTACAGCACACCTCACTGCTGTCTCAGCTCTCATACATCTTCTGCACCATTCTACACTTCCTCATGCACCACAGCTCCCCTACCCCGCCGTCTGCTTTCTCTGAATCTACAAACACATAATGAAGCTTCCTCTGACCTTCTCCGTACTCCTCCATCAGCTTCCTCAAAGCAAAAAGCATTCTTACTCTTTCTTCCAGCTATGTCTCATTAAGTTTTTGTTTATTTTTTTTGTACTGGAACATATGATTTAGATGATTCAGGCATTTTGTTTTTGTCGTGTAGGATGAAACTTTGGTCCACTGCAGTTTAAATGAGCTGGAGGATGCAGCACTTACCTTCCCCGTCCTCTTTCAAGATGTCATTTATCAGGTTGGTGCTCCCTCTGTTTTACCTCATAACACCACTAGAGGGAGACAAAGTTATTTCCAACAAGCATGGGTGCAAGCTAGTCTGCTGAAATGAATATATCTTTTAACCCGATGTGTGTTTTTGAGCCTTTATTCACTGTTTGCATCAAAATTAATCATGTGCCCATCACAAATGTTTACTATCACGAGGTTTGTCTTGTGCAGGTGTACGTGCGCCTGAGACCATTCTTTAGAGAGTTTTTGGAGCGTATGTCTCAAATATATGAGGTAAATATAACACCACTACGCCTGTATATAAGCTAAAGGCACATTTAGGTGTGTACATCTTTATTTTGCTGTTTTCCCAGATCATCCTTTTTACAGCCTCTAAAAAGGTTTATGCAGACAAACTTCTCAACATCTTGGATCCCAGAAAGCAGCTTGTGAGGTATGATCTGTATTTAATCTCTGGGGTTTTAATCCTTAAATGTCATGTTAGTTTGAATGAGAAGTAATAAACTTTACACAGAAACGATCTGTGTAAAGCACCCGCGTGGGTGTGCGCTGCTGTTGGAGGTGTCAGTGTTGTGGTTTTTATAAATTATTGATTGTGCTGATGTCATCACACATTATTATTATTGTTTTTAACTCTGGTCTTTCTTTTTGTTCCCTGCTGTAACTGTAGACACAGGCTATTTCGTGAACACTGTGTCTGTGTCCAAGGAAACTACATCAAGGACCTCAACATCTTAGGCAGAGATCTCTCAAAGACCATCATCATCGACAATTCACCACAAGCCTTTGCATATCAGGTGAGATGTTGACACAAAACACCACAAAGCACAATTTTCTTCTTTTTGTCACTTTGGCATCAGGTTGTTTGTTCTTTAATTGCATATTATGACCATAAGATTAGTCTTAGTCTCTATGCACCAATCTTAGAGCTGCGGAACGGAAATGGCGCAAAACAAAAGATCCTGGTGATCAATTGAAATTTCATGAATTACTGTCATTCTCTGCCAGCATCACTGATGCAAAGAAAGCTTTCTACACTGACAATTCTCAGCTCTACTGACTCTCAGGAACTATTTTCGACATTCAAAACTCTGCTCAACCTTCCGTCTCCACCTCCTACCAACAATCTGTCAGCTGACACCTTTGCCTCATTCTTCACTGACTAAGTGGCAGCTATAAGCAGTTTACTCAACTGGCCACTCCGCTACCATAAACTCCTTCTAGCCCAACCATCTCAAGCCCTACTGCTTCATTTTCCTCTTTTTCCCCTCTCATTGAGAACTGTGTGTCCAAGCTTCTCACGTGCAGCCGCCCTACTACATGCCCACTCAACCCCATTCCGACTAAGCGGGTCCAAGCTATTGCTCCTACAGTAGCCGCAGCAGTCACACATGTGATCAACGCTTCACCGACATCCGGTACATTTCCCACCTCTCTCAAGCATGCTCAGGTTAAACCCCTGCTACAAAAAAACATCTCTTCCCCAAAACCATGTGGAGAACTACCGACCTATCTCTCTCCTCCCTTTTCTGTCCAAAATCATTGAAAGGGTGGCTTTCAAGCAGATCACAGAATACCTCTCACAAAACTGTCTGCTTGACCCTTACCAATCTGGGTTCAAAAAGGGCCACTCCACTGAAACTGCTCTGTTAGCAGTGACGGAATCCTTAAAAGAAGCTAGAGCGACTGCCAAATCTTCAGTGCTTATCCTGCTCGACTTATCAGCTGCATTTGACACTGTCAACCATGGCTTCCTTTTGTCCACAGTCTAGCATGGGCATCACAGAGAAAGCACATGCCTGGTTTGAATCGTACCTCACAGGACGATCATTCAGTGTGTCTTGGCTTGGACAATCCTCTACCGTGTACCATCTTGCCACAGGAGTCCCCCAGGGCTCTGTACTAGGACCTCTTCTCTTTGCCATGTACACCACCTCACTGGGTGAGATCATTCGATCACATGGCTTCTACCACTGCTATGCAGACGACACCCAGCTCTATGTGTAATTTCCACCGGACGACCACACTGTCTCTACACGAATATCAAACTGTCTCTCTGACATACCAAAATGGATGAAATCCCACCATCTCCCAACTCAACCTCTCTAAAACTGAACTACTTGTTATCCCAGCAAAACCATCTATACAGCACAATATCTCAATCCAAAATGACTTCCTGTCTGGCTCCTTCAAAGGCAGTTTGAAATCTGGGTGTTGTGATTGATGAACACCTGACCTTTAAAGATCATGTTACCTCTGTTGCTCGTTCATGCCGCTTTGCGCTGTATAAAATACGAAAGATCAGACCATACCTAACACAACATGCCACCCAGCTCCTGGTGCAATCTACTGTCATCTCCCACCTCGATTACTGCAATGCCCTTCTAACTGGTCTTCCAGGCTGTACTGTGAGACCTCTTCAAATGGTCCAGAACACAGCGGCGCGTCTGGTCTTCAATCAGCCAAAAAGAGCACACGTCACCCCTCTGTTCATTGAGCTCCAATGGCTACCGCTAGCAGCACGCATCAAATTAAAATTGCTAACAATAGCATACAAAGTCCGAGATGGTACTGCTCCCATCTACCTGAATCCTGGTATTTGTGGAACGACCTACCAAGGACTACAAGAACAGGGGCTTCCTTTTCGACTTTCAAGAAACTCCTGAAGATCCTGCTCTTCAGGGAGCATCTTCTAAACTAGCACCCTCCCTGCACCCGTCCGCCCTCTCTACTGTCCACTTCTTGTTCCCTCCTCTGCATGATTGATCATGCTGCCTCACTGCCACCTACGACTTACTGGAAATTGTTTGTTGTTGTTGTTATTGTTGTTGTTAGCCTCAAGGGCAACATGCCGATTATAACTTGTAAGTCGCTTTGGACAACAGCATCTGCTAAATACATAAACATAGTCTTAAAGAACAGGATCACTGATAAACCATTTTCTTCAGCAAGGCAGCTTTATTTATACAGCACATTTCACACACACACACACACACACACACAGAGGCAATTTAGCGTGTTAGCCATTAGCGAGAATAGCAAGAACATTAAAATCCATATAACAGCACAACTAAAATAGACAAATATATTCAGATTTAAGAATCAGGAAAAAAAGGCTAGAGTAAAGAATGAGCAGTTACAGCGCAGAAGGTGCAGCATAAGGAACATTGGTTCTGATTTAAAAGTTTCTAGAGTTGGCTGAGTTCATGAGGAAGCTGATTCCATCTGTGTCAGAATAGTAGCTAAAAGCAGCTTCACCCTGATTGGTTTTGGTCTGACGTTCTACCAGCTGAGTTCTTCCCAAGGATCTCAGAGCCCTCCTGGGCGTAGATACAGGAAGAACATCTTACATGTACTTTGGCCCCATGCCATTGGGTGATTTAGAAACAGTGTTGGGAAAGTTACTTTTAAAAAGTAATTAGGAATAGTTACTGATTACTTTGTCTAAAAAGTAACTCAGTTACTTACAGAATTACACGATTATAAAAGTAACCTATTACTAAGAAAAATAAGTACCTTGTTACTTTTTTCATTTAAAAAATGCAAGAAAAATGGTTTCCCCTCTTAATTAAAGGGACTTTATGGAGTTTTGAATTTTTATGCTCGTGATTGCCCCCTCAGGCCAAAAGCGTAACGGCAGCTTCAAAAGTACGCTCGTGCACGAGGCGCACATGCTGTACGTGTACACCCCTTAACGAAAATAACAGCTGAGACAGTCCCGTGTGTGTGTGTGTGTGTGCGTGCGTGCGTGCGTGCGTGCGTGCGTGCGGCCCGGGGGACAGAGGACAGGAGAACGCGCAACTAATTAATTAAATAATTTGGTTCTGTACCTTTCTCTTCAGCACAGCCGACAAAGGTTTATGATGGGTCAGTCCTGCATGCTCAGATCATTCCCTTCCCTTGCTTGAAAAATTGTTCCAAAATGAAAGTTGAACCCACATCGTTTTTATCCGTGAATGCACTGCCGTTCGGCGAGTCTCAAATAAAAAATTGGGCATCTTACTGTAAAAAAATATACCATTAGTGTAAAAACGAAACTCAAAAGAAACTATGCTCACGTCCAGAATCAAACCCGTGTCTGCAGCACGAGAGTCCGACATCTAACTAGGTGAGCTAAGCGCCAGTAATGTCTTTTGTATCTGTAACATTTATATCCTTGATAACAGCTGAAACAACGTTCAAAGAACGATTCTGAGCGAAAATGGCTATTTTGTTGCTAATTTGCAGGAAATATTTAGAAGAAAGTTCTACAGAAAGTAGCTAAGGGCCCTCAGAAATATAGCTAGCTTTGTCACTAGGCGTTAGGAACAGCGACAAAGTGGCACTGCCTCTCTGCTGCTAAAGCTACGGATAGCAAATGCTCTTGGCTATGTGCCTGAGCGTGAACGTGCATGAAGCAGCCTGCTCGACCCGAGCAGCTCTCTTTTTCTGTGATTTTACAGAAAAACAGGCAATCACAGTAAAAATGCCAGGGCTCATTCTACAGGACCAGGGCATTGCAGGAGAATGTATGAAGAAGAAATTTATTATTTCTGTACATGTTTTAGCTGTCAAACTTCCATAATGCCCCTTTAAACTAACTTAATTTACTATAAATGACGACAATACTGAAATATAAATTACTAATGACTCGAACATAATAAAATGTATGTCCAAATGTTTTTTTAGAAAACTGAATAATTGAAATAAATGCACACTTAACAGGAGGAACTAATCACTAATCTAGACTATTAAAAAGTCACTGTGATAGTTAACAAGACCCCAATCAGCTAAAATTTATAATTGCAAATAGAAACACCTGTAAAGGTTCCTGCGCCTTTAAATGGTCTCTCAGTCTAGTTAAATTACTGAAATAAATGTAATTTTGCACAGTATTTTAATTTTTCCAGCTTCACATAATTGTGTGTTTTAGCAGCATTTCTGTTGCTGCTAATCTTGTAATGGAGAAATAAATAAATAAAAATCCTTTAAAATGGCACTAGAAGAGGCACAAATCTGATGGAGGACTTAAATTTGCTGATTTGGGTCAGACCCAAACACAGAAGAGCTGAAGCTGGGTGGTAAACACACACAGGTAGTTCTGATAACACCTCTGAGACTGATGCATCAGTGTTACAGCGGGACTAAAGAGATGATCAGAAACGGGTTACAGTTGGGTGATCTAGGAAGGTAGAAGATCGTGACGTCTGAGCGGTGAACAGGTGAGCGGACCTTCAGAATTCATACCTGCAGCAGTGAATCTGCGCGTCTGCAGGCGTAGACTGTTCATTGCGTCTTCCTCGTTCTTCACGGGCCGTGATGCGTTTGGATGAAACCATCCGCCTCTTTCGCTCCCAATCAGCTGATGATGGCTTCAACACACCTGCTGAATTAGCAGGGGTTTCCTGCGTTCAAATTTGCGTGGCAGCCACCTCCAGCTAATTTTGTGCCACCCCAGCCTGATTTCACTCTGCCCCCAGCTAAATGGGTGTTATTTTAACTGCAGTTGCAGCGTTGCGCCACTATAGGGACGCTGTATCAGCAGCGGTGCACCGAAAAGCCCTAAAACCGCTGCAGAAAAAGATCAGAAATTGCTTTTCTCGCTAGTTGGTACATATCTATGGTTGGTGTTATTGTAGGGTGACCGTACGTCCTCTTTCCCCCGGACATGTCCACTTTTCACTATCTGTCCGAGGCGTCCAGGGGGTTTCCTACAATGATTAAAATGTCCGTTTTTCATCCAGGAGCAGGGATCGAGTTATGGGGGCTGGATATCTTTGAGGGAAAGATCCAGTTTCTGCTTATATTACAATATTTA